GCTTCTCCCTCTCCCACTCGCCCTGCTTGTGTTCCCTCTCTCACTGTGTCTCTCTCTGTCAAATAAATAAATAAAATCTTAAAAAAAAAAAAAAGAAAACAATTATAATCCAGTTACGGTAGTATCGGGGAAGATGAAATGTCTTAGTTCCTGAGATAGAAGCCTCCAAAGTGACCTACTGATTATGTGGGGAATGAAGCACTGGAAAGAGTCAAGGTTACCCCTCCCCCCAGCTTTCTTTCTTGAGTAGAAATATGAGCAATCTGCATCAGGAAGATAGGAAGAACCACTTGTCTTGTTGGAATACTAGAACTTGGAGGTGTATGTCTTAGCCAATAGGAAGTTCTTAAAATTATGGAAGTATAATAATGTAAATAGTTCAGAATATTTTTTCTACTTCAGATGAAGGATGCCTTTTCTAACTGTACAGGTCTAAGTGGCATGAGCTATTTTTCAATCTTCAATTGGGAGCAGCAGTTTATGGGCTGCAGATAATTGAACGTCTTCCTTTTATGTTGGTTCGTGAAAATGTGAAACTGTCACTGCTAAAAGCCATGCAGTTTCTCCCTGAATAAATGAAAATTCTGTGCACATCTGCATTTGTTCAGATTGTTGTGTTCCTAGAAGGAGCTCAGGGACACCTGCTTACATTCTGATCGATGACCAAAGTTTATTCTGCCTCTAACTGTGAATTAAATATACAGCTGCTAGAAATGTCAGCAAAGTCACATAAAAAGGATTCTGATTCACTGCTGTTCTACTATTAAATAATCAGTGCTCCTGTCACATTGAATTGAATGTAAAACAGCCTGTGGCTATTATTCCTCTGGGAAATCCTTTAAAATGCCCCCTCTTTATCCCCCATTAAAATCAAGTGGGCAGGGTAGATACATTATATTACAGGTGGCTGAACCAATTGAATGAAGTCACTTTTTTCAAATAAGCAGCTTTCCTGTTTGTTCTGCTCTAGTTCTTGAACAACCTGGCTGATTATCATTAAATCTGGTGTCACCCCTAAAGAACAATCAGACACTGCCTAGGTTTAGATTCATGGATCAAGCTGCTGTCTAAAAGCAACATGATGGCCAATGTTTTTAAATTTCCTTTTTTTAGGAATCTCACCCATATAAGGAAAATGTATTCTTTCTATAGAAATTGTTTTAGAAGTTGCCAAAATACAAACTACCTTTTTATAAAATTAGCGTCTTCTAATAAACAAAAGGCAGAAAAGTTGCCATCCTCTGTCAACAAAGCACATTTGCCAGAAAGAAGGAGGGAAGGAAGGGAAAGTGAGAAAAAGGGGAAAGTGTGAGTGTGCATGCTCACATGCGTGTGTGTGTGTGAGAAAGAGAGAGAGAGACAGACAGAAGTGCATCTTGTGGAATCAGCCACGGAGGGAAGAGTTGGCCACAGTAACCACTGTTAGTGATTCCACATGTGGTTCGTAAACCTAACCCTTCCTACATGGTAGGGAAACTCCTCATACTGCTACTAATGAAAAGAAAAATCTGTCCCCACCAAAACCACTATGAAGAAATGGTTTTACTTAACAAAGATATTTCCATACAATTCTCAGTGGCAGGGTCGACAGCAAAAGTGTGTTGTCATTTCAGCTATTAGGAAATCTCTAGGAAACAACTACTTTTCTCCCCTCCCTGTCACTTTAGTGATAATTTTCTAGAATAAATGTTTCTAATTGTAGTCCTTTGGCTGCAGGGTGGGAGGGGGCCTTAGAAGGGAAGAGACTGTGGGGAGTATGAAGGGTGGGAAGAAGAGGGGAGTCTGAACTGTTTTAGCCACAGATTTTTTGTTTTTCTTCTATTTAGTGACATCAGAAGGGCTTCAGTTTAGATCTGGGATGGGTTTTCTTTCTTAATAAGGTCACTGAATGTCTTTGAGCTATAGTTTCCTCTTCTATAAGACAGGGTGTGTGAATATATTTCGCATGGGGTAGCTGTAAGGATTAAATGCATAGAAACTGCCAGTCACACCAGAGGTGTTGATAAATGCTACTCTCAGTAGGATGGCTCTTCAAGCGCCTTTGTGCCCGCCTGCTCCAAAGACCCCAGCAGCACAGTGATAAAAACATACAAACAGAAACAGCAAAATCATGCACTAATGTAGACAACAAACTAGGAGATATGAGAGCTGGGCCAATGAGGGTACTACACGGTCTTCTTTCTCCTAGCGGGTCCGTAGCACTTCTCCATATGTTAACTTGCTTTCTTGATCTTAGAATATTGAGACTATGGTTCTCAGCTCTATATTTATCATGATAACATTGCAGGTCAACAGGACAATTTGAATTGCTAATATAATGCACTCTGGTGCATTATCTATTATTACCTTATTGTTTATTAATAAAGCCCTTTAGGCAAAAGATATCACATAAAGATAGTAAATCATAAGATATTTGCAGAACTCAAAATGGAAGTTCAGGGGTAAAATCAGCTGTAATATTTTGTGAGCCCACACAAGCTGTGGATCTGTGACTTTGAGGACCCTAAATATCCTCTTTGCTGCTCTATAGTCATCTATATAAGCCACCAGTTTGGTTCACTTTCTTGAGATACTTTTTCTTCTTATTTGATTGCACTCAGTTTTCATGTCAGCCCTAACACTCCATTTGCTACAGACAATGAACACTAAGTTGTCTTACTGCAAATAAAAAGTACAGAACTGAGTCAATAGTGCTTTGGTTGTTGATTCCAGAAGAATGCAACATGTTTCCTTGCTGACAGGAGACCCATGAGTTATACTTGCGTCTTCATCTGAACACTAAAGAAGAAGAAAAGGCTTCTTTGAGAGAGAAGGAAACAAAATTCCTAACTAGAACCTTGAGACCACATCAAGATAGTTAGGCAAAGTCATTTACCGCTCAGGGTTTCTGAGAGCTGAAGATCTCACTTTAACGAGATTGTCCAAGCCTTCACTGTTCGAAAGAGGAGAAAAAAAAAAAAGTTCAGATTAGGGATAGGTTTTTGGTTGGGCTAGGTCAATAAAGCGACATTATAAATCCACTCCACCCAGGGGCGACAGGCAGATGAAAACATGAAATGACTGCTTTTATCTGATTACCCCTGACTGCTTCTGGTCACTGCAGGATTCACTTTGATGAGGTTATCCAGATCCTGGTTTCTTTAAATAGAAAAATAAAAGGAGAGCAGGTTAATGATAAAGTTCTTTTGGCAGGAGGATTCAGGTTACAAATCTGCTTGAAATAATAATAAAACAAAACGTTCTCCCTGACCAAAGCACAAAAATGAATATAGTTCTATTACCTCTGGTTGTTGGTGAGAGTTTCAGGATTCACTCTGATGAGCTTATCAAGATCTTGATTTCTTTAAGTGAAAAAAAAATTAGAAATTTGTTAATTTGTGTTAGAGATAATGCAGGTTCAAGTTGGTTGGAATTAGAAGAAAGGATTAGCTACCTTATCACTTAGTATGATACATACTGGTTGGGCACAGAACAGCCTTGAAATAAGTTTCCTAGCTTTAGGGGGGACAAATTTTGCTGGATTGGAAGAGAAGCTGCTCTGACTTAACATACTTCAAAGCCAGAGCACATCCATGGGGCCACACCGGCAGGCATTCACAGCAAACATCTGGTGATTAACAACTTTGCACTCTGCAGTGTTTTAACATTATGGACATACACTCTGATTTTCATGTCCTTTTCCTTGTTATTTTTAAGAGCATATTCACCAACTGAAGATATTTTTTTTAATAAGCTCTAAAATTGGAATTATACTTAGCCTAAGGCTTGGCATGGAGAATTCCAGCAATCCATTAAATTGGTGACTTTTCTTTCCTTTACAATAAATAAAAAGCTGAATTAAACGCAGCTGTTCATGGTCAAATGACTTACAGACTCTGAAGACTTCCTATTGGAAGCCCCACCAGTTTCTTTTCTCAGTCACAAACAGTATTTCTTCCCACATAGTTTGCTGCCATTCACTGCCTCAGTGTAATACCTTGTTTTAAGGGCTAGCAAGTGATGATTCTTCAAAGTGTTCCTTTAAACCCCTTTTTAATATTTATTTAGAGAAATAAGATAGTCTGTCATGGCAAGAAATTGCAGGACTGAGAACACCTGCTTTTCAGTACCATCTTGGACAACAACCTGCCTGTCTTCCCTACACCCCAACAGCAGTCCTTTTTCCTTATAGAAAAGTAAGAGACATTTTGCCTGTCAAAAAGATTGAAACAAGGTTAAGGACTGAAGGGGAGCCATTTAGAGCTTCATCACCAAAAAGTTCTAAGAAAAGGTCTGCATTTCCCTCCCCCAGTCCTAATATTCCCATAGAATGTGCTTCCCAGCTTCTGGCTTCACTCAGTTCCTTCTTTCCATCATCATTCTCAGATTTTCATGGTAGACAGAAAGCCGCTAATTGAATTTTCACTGTTTTGAATTATCTCCAATAATAGTATTCGCAATTAAAGATAATCCATTGATGTCTCCAATACCATTAAAGGAATGATTAACATATGACAGCTATCCAAAATATAATTTCCTTGCATGAACTGATTGCAAATCTGTTATAAAGCTCAACTGTGCCTAAAAGACAATAATCTCTAAAGTGAGGTTATTGTACACCTTAAACTAATGTAAGACTGTATGTTAACTACACTGGAATTAAAATAAAATAAAATTAAATTAAATTAAATTAAAGTGAGGTTAATTTTACATATTAGAGGAAAAATACAAAGAATAAACTTTGTAGAGGAGATAATAAATTCAAAGGCCACAGTCTTTTAACGTATAAATTAATCACAATATTTCTTAGTGTAACTACATATAATATTTGTGTACCAGCATAATTAGAGTAAGCTGCACACACAACCATGAGAACTTGCATTTTTCACTGTTCTGATGAGCACAGAAAATCTGATTTATCCAATAGCCTAGAACAGTGATATTCAAATTACTGTTTCATAAAGCCCATTAACAAATACATTTTGTATCACAGCCCAATACTCTCTTTCCAGACAGACAGACAGACATAAGCAAACACAAATTTCATTAAATAATACCTTTACTACATAAGAACTCTCATATTTTCCATTCTAATTAATTTTATTTAATTGGGAAAAATACTGATTGCCACTCACTACATTAATTACAAGACCCTTTAACTGGTTTTGACCCACAGTTTGAGAAATCCTAGCTTAGAAAATATAGAAATGTATGCTATATTCTACCACTACTCCTAAAAAGACAGCACAGTGTTTTTAACAAAACAAGGATCTTGGTATCAGTTCTGAATTGCCTTGATTGATAGCATCATGCAGTTTATCTCAATGAATTAAAACTAACAAATTTATACACCTTTTTTTTAGGCCCTGGATCCCTGCACACACAGGAATCTTATATCTAAAGTTTATCCAGGAAAAATGTAACTCTTCCTACTCAAGTGACTGCTTTCATTTGTTTTTGCTTTAAGGATGTAGGAAAGAGATGTATTAGAATATTTAGCTATTATTACCTCCATGTAGTTGAAGAGCTATAAAGTTTTGCAGTCATTTGCACATTTGTGCCATTGTCATCTATGAAGTCATATTTCAAGGGACCCTGTGGAGCAGTAAAGGACACTTCCTGGCTGTTCCATGGCAAAAGCAACAATCCTAGCTTTATAAGCCTCCACTATTTCTGGAGGTACTTAATTAACTTTCATTTACTTTTATTTTTTTAAATTTTTTTTATTGAAGTATAGTTGACATATTAGTTTCAGGTATACAACAGTGATTTGACAATTCTATACATTATGAAATGCTCACCACAATAAGTGTAGTTACCATCTGTCACCATACAAAGTAATAATCTTATTAAAAATGAACAGAGGACCTAAAAGGCTATTTTTCCAAAGACGACATCAAGATAACTTTCATTTAAGATCAAAGTTCGTGTGCTGTGATTTCAAGAACAGGAGTTGGTCTGGGAGTTAGAAAAAGTCACAGGAGACTATGAGATTTTTGCCCCTGGCCTCAACATTCTCATCTGTAAAATGAGGAGACTGGACCATTTCTAAGAATCTGCCTATCCCTAACATCTTCTACTCCTAGGAATCTATGAATATGAACTTGATTGCCTGTCATGTTTATTAAATTAGCTAGTCAATGTCTCTTTTTCTTTTTAAATGCAATGTCCTGACAATGCATTCTACATTCAGCAAGCAGAACATGAGTGTTCCAAAATGTAATATATTAAATTGACAACCTATTATTCTCTTGGAGTAACATCTCTGTGCCCCCAGTACATAATTAGCTTTAATCTGTGATAATTGCCTGCTGTTAATAAGATTAAGTATGTCTACTGAATTCTCTTTTTGGCCTCCATGGCCTATAATTATACCTAATGTGCAACTAATGATACCTGGTTGTAAGCTTCAAACCCAGTAGGTGCTCAGTAATTATTCACTGCCTAGCAGATCAAGAACTACTACCAGTCTTCTACCAGTTTTCTCTGTGATCCTGGTCAGATCACTCAATCTTTGTGAGTCTGTTTCCTCTTCTGGAAATGGAATAGGTTTGACTGGAACAGTGGTTTTCAAAATTATTCAAACTAACAGGTCTGGGAGTTCTCTCAGGTTCCTTCCTTCATCTCTAAGATTTTGCACTTTTATATGTACCAACTAAATTCAATAAGGGAAATCATGAGAACATTCTTAAGAGATGTGTGTGTGTGTGTGAGTGTGTGTAATCCCTTATATATAACATATATAATTCCCATATAAATGGGAGTAGTGTGTAACAGTATAAAAATCCTCATATAACCAGAGGCAAAGGTGAGTTTTATCGTCTTACAGATACTACCTAAAGAAATAACAAATTTTAGGTCCCTAACTTTGCTGGGAGCATCAAACCATCTAAGAAACAATATACCTCATAAAATTTCCACTGATTACCAGAGAACACTCTTTAAAAATGAAGTACATGGTATTGCTGATGATGAATCTAATAAAGCATTCTAGGTCTTTTTAAAAACTATTATTAATACATTTTCATCAGTTCCAGAGAAAAGGTATTAACATCAATACTACAAAGAAAAAACAAATATAGCACATAGACCAGCTATGTTCCTACGCCAGTCACTCCCTTCAATTGCTTTACTTGAGGCCAAAAGAAGTGAAGTCACTACCAAATTATTTTCTCCAGCTATCGCTCTTTCTTGCTAGTAACAGATAGACATTTATTTCTGGGAACATATAAAAATTGTGACGGCTTTTCAAGACCTATATTCAGTTTGCCCACAGAATGACTGTAAACCATTTATGTTTGTATTGTACTTAAAGAGGAAAAAAACAAAACAGAACAAATAACATCTTTCTCTTACCCAGCCATGTTTTTGACAGCTTTGGGGCGCACATTAATAAGTTCATCAAGACCTTCTTTCCTGCTAAAACGAAATAAAATAAAAGTTCAAATTCAGCTGGAAATCTGCAAATTTTATGGCTGACATTTTTTTCTTTTGACACATGTGGATCATACAATGGGATCCTAGATAAAAAGTAATGTTTACCAAGTTTCTACTTTACAAAGTTTTTAAAAATCCTCAAAACAACCTACTGAGGTAGATATTACCATCCTCCCCTTACAAATAAGAAATAGAGCTTCATGGAAGTTAAGCCTCTCTTTGGGGGCAGGTAGGAGGAAATAACAGAGGATGAACCAGGTTCAGAACCATAGCAACTGGACCCTCACGCTCCTTCCCACCATCATCCTCCCTCTGTGTTCACGGTAATTCCTTATATCTGCACCATGCTTTTTACCATCATCACAGTAATCCTGAGAGAGGTACCTTGGAGTTACTCTCTCATGCTTTTCTTGATCTTTGACCCCAGATATAATGAGTCTTAACTACTCAAGAAGACAGAAATATATTCAATGTCATGCGAAAATATTATGGTCAAGTATAAGAATGCTATGTCACCAATTTTCTCGAGTCACTTAAAAACTAATCCTTGGGTTTGTGAAGGAGTAGAAAGTCAATATTCTTTGTTTTATTCAGTTTTATGAACTAACGATTAACTATAAATTTATAGTAATGACCTAGTTATGCTATGATTGTATCAAAATGGATTTCTCAAGTAGTAATTATACAGAATTCACTTCAATATTGTAATGAAATAAATTGAAACAATGAAAAAAGAAGAGTCTAGCCAGCATCACTACACATCAACAAATCAATTTGTTCTCATTTTTTTCATGTCCCCTTTCAGAATGCCCTTAGCCAAATGATTAGTCTTATTTTTTGGCAGAAATTGGAGACTTGCTCAGGAGTCTTCAATAATCTTGATAAATCTACCTTGTGTTTGCTGAGGGAATGTGTTTGGATCCTAAAAAAATGATTCAAGTTGCAACAGCTGGTAAAATAAATTAAAATCAATAATAATCTGTACATTTTTTTCAACTTTAATATTACATTAAGAAATTATTGCTAACTTAAAACTTCATCAGGGATGCCTAGGTGGCTCAGTCAGTTAAGCATCTGCCTTCAGCTTAGGTCATGATCCCAGGGTGCTGGGATCGAGCCCTGCATCGGGTTCCCTGCTCAGCGGAGAGCCTGCTTCTCCCTCTGCCTGCTGCTCCCCCTGCTTGTGCTCGCTCACTCTCTCTCTCTCTCTCTCTCTGACAAACAAATAAATAAAATCTTTAAAAAAAAAACCTTCATCATTACTTGAATTCTTTTTAGCCCTATGTAAAAGCAGATGGCTATGAATTCATATCTTATACAATTATGTATATATGAGAATTTAATTTAGTTTTATTCTTGTTTCTTTCAAGACAACCTCAAATTTAAATTGCTCTTAAGCTTTTTATTCTCCATATCACATTTTGTAGTAGAATTAGCATTTAGGATATTTTGGGAGGTTGTAACAAACAAGAGAAAAATATAAAATTGTTTGTCATTTCCAGGTATTCCTTGCTTCTCTCCCCTCCAAAAAATAACAAAAAAAAAAGCAAGCAAACAAAACAACAAAACCTGGGACTTTTAAAAAACAGAGTATTTCCTGATTCCAAGGTATACAGGTAATATACATAACGTGAATGTGTAACATTGAGGCTACTCTAAGGTATTAATTAAATCACTTCAGAATTGCACTTCATGCAAGGCTAAATCAGAATAAGGAAGACTTTTGGTTTACATAAATTGCTTTTATTCTAAACACCCAAATAGGCAATCATAGCTCTAAAGAGACATTTCTATTACCATGCAATGGGCTCTCATACCAGCACTAACCCCAAAGGCCTAAACAAGTTGCCTAATTTGATATACATTATCATTGGGCACTATGTTATATATCCTGAAGGGAAAAAGGCCAGAAAGGTTTTATCACTTAAGGAATCTTTAGAATTAACTTGTAAACTAATTTTATCATGTACGTATCCTTTCATGTAAATTATTGCATCCTATTATGTTGAACTATTATGCTGAAATAGAATTATGTTGAAATCCCAAGCATGGAACACAAACCCCATACTGATAAGAGATATTTTAAGAAATTCTTTATCCTCCATTAAAGCCCACAGCCCGGGAGCCCTGAGCAAGGACTTGAACACTAGGTTTATGACACAAAGCTGTTGGTTTTGCATCCCATAACTGGTTGTCTTGATGGTAGAACAATGAATTACATTTTTTTTCTAAGTTAAATAGAAAAAAACAGAAGAGTTCCATGAACCTCACCTTTGGTTAGTTCTGTTTGTTTCAGGAGACACTTTGATGAGGCTGTCAAGACTTTGGCCCCTTTAAAACATGGAAGAAATGATCAGATCAGTGGTTGATTTACATCATGTGGCTGCAAATATTAAAACCGAGAAACATTTTTTGTTATAAAAATATTTTGTTAGAAAATATTTATGAATACAGAGATCATCTCAAAGGATTGGAGTTTTCCAGTGCTGTGAATATATATTTTTGGACCTACCTACTGCTGCATAGAAATAATAAACAATAACCACCAGTTTTAGAAAATTCATGATGTGCCAGGCACTGTTCAAGTGATTTACGTGATTTATATAAGTGAATCCTCACATCAATTATTCAATATAGGAAGTATTACCATCCCATTTTCTCAAAGGGAAAAACTGAAACAGAAAGATTAAGTGAAAGCACAGTACTCTAACTCAAGAGCGCTTGGCTCTTTCCATGATACCAACCATCGTGTTGGCACTTAGTAATTGCATTAGCACTGAAGTGACTAGACAGCACCTGGTCCAATTTCCTTACTGTGAGGACAAGGAAACAAGCCCTCAAAGGGGAAGTGGCCAATCGCATTTTGCACAGTTAGTGAGGGCAGAGCTAAGGCCTAGGCCCACATCTATGGTCTCCCATCTAGTCTCTTTCCCCCCTCCTGTGCCATCCTCTGCTTAAGAAGAATAAACAAATCAATGAACATAAGTGTCTTGTCCATTCTTGGAAATCAACTGTGCATCTAATTAATCAAAGGTTATCTCCATTACATTAAGAATTAGTTGACCAAAATCTTCAACACTTTAGATATGAGGTCATGGAAGTCACATGACTTTTCTTGAGCTATTATTGAGCTGTCAATCTGCTAAAATGTTAATTTAATTATATTTTTAAGCATTGGTATGTATGAAACAAAAAAACCAGAAGCTTATTAAATCTTACCCTTGCATGCTTTTTCCTGTTCTTGGAACCACTTTGATGAGGTTATCAAGATCTTTGGAACTTAAAAACAAAAAACAAAAATGATAAGTAAAAATGGAATTAAATCAACTAGGTATTTATTTAAAAGATATATGTGCTCAAGATGAGTTTTACTATTAAGTTTTGAGAAAAATCATACCAGTCTTTGTCCTTAATTTTTAAAGTACAAATTTTGACCTCCATACAAATCATCAATATATGGCTCAGATTCCTATTTACCCTCAAAATAAAACCATAACTTTAGGGCAATATTGAGTTTTTAAAAAATCAATTAGCAACTATGTAATGATTTGCCAAAAACTTTCGCCTGCCCCCCCAACAAGTATTCCATCTAACACTGTAGCTGTTACTAAACTGTATTTTGTTAATAATTTCCATTTATAGTGCCTTCTTGCTTTAAAGGGATTTTATATCCATTATTTCACTTGAGGCTTACAACAACCAAGTGACAAAGGTAGACCAGACAGTTATAAATGATCCTCATTTTATAACTTAAGAAGTCTCAGCTCAGAGTGTTCTAGGGACTTGCTCAAAGGCAAGTAATGGGAAGTAATGGATTTCAAGCTTTCTGATTCCAACCCAAAGATTTTTTCCACACAGTTTTTCTGATGAGGGACACAAATTGATGCAGGCGGGGAAGGAAGAAAGATAAGACATAATCTTCACCTTGCATTACTTCTGTTTACTTCAAGAGTCACTTTAATGAGATTGTCAAGGCTCTGGCCCCTTTAAACATTGAAGAAAAATGATGAGGTTAATGATAGATTAATACCAAATGAATAAAGCTATTTATTAAAACTCGGAAACAGGACAAACACTGAGATCATGCCAAAGAATGGAAGATTGTTAAAAGCGATGATGCAGAAGTATGTAGGGATTTATACATCTCTGAGACTCAATGAGACAGTATTTTAATCTTAGAGCCTTTAGGTCAGTTGCAAACACTGTACTGGGACTCTGTCTCTATTATGATTCATTTAATGCTATGCTCTAAACCTTTGATAGGTGCACTGAACATTTTGTAGTAGTCTATATACACATCTCATGGAACATTCCAGAAAACATATCCTCTCTTAATATCAACCTCCAACACGCTGTGGGAATTTAAAATCAACTCTGGAGAATCCATATTTTGTAAAATTTACATTCATTAGCAGATTTTCTATTCACAACACTGGACTAAGAATAATATACCAATTTGTTGAGGTCCATGTTATACAACCTGGTATCTGTGTCTGGTACTTATGTGTTCAAACTACAAATTTGGACTAGTTTTGTTGGCAACAAACAATAGGAAGATTAAAATCTATAGAGTTCTGAAATGTAAGCTATATTTACTATAATAAAAAAACTCCATGTAGTCACTAAAAATATGTCAGTATTTTGTTGTTACCCTTGAATATATTCTGTTTCTGATCTTAATGGAATTTTGTTTTTCATATTGTTTCTATGTGTTTTCCACGAACACAGCACAAGCCAATGCCCCTCTGATCTACAGAGGATGCTACATGGGCAAAGGACATCTACAGAAGGTACACTCTGTTTCTCCATGCCCTGTGGTCCTACTAAGATTGTATCACAAAGTCTCTGAGGTTGCATCTATACAACATCAAAGATACAGATATTTGGAAGCAACCAGATGTTGACCCAAGTTTTTACTTGTATCCAGATGTCTGAGAATGTATATACCCAGGCTAAAAGCAGCAATAAAAAAATGCAGACCTTTTCCATGCAAAATGAAACAATTAACCCAACAGAGGCAACTATTCTATCCCAGAATACCCCTTGTTGATTTTTTTTTTTTAAAGGTTTTATTTATTTGACAGAGAGAAATACAGCGAGAGAGGGAACATAAGCAGGGGGAGGGGGAGAGGGAGAAGCAGGCTTCCCGCCGAGCAGAGAGCCCGATGCGGGGCTCGATCCCAGGACCCTGGGATCATGACCTGAGCCAAAGGCAGACGCCTAACGACTGAGCCACCCAGGCGCCGCCCCCTTGTTGATGTTTTTTTTACCTCTTGTTAATATTTGCCTAAATGAAGTATGTGAGATTTGAATGCCAGAGTCTGAGAAAAAAATTCCCAGAATTCTATTTCCAGATTTGAGTACTTAAAAAAAAAATAACACAACAGTTAAGTATTGTACCCCTTCCCTTGTCATACTTTTGTTGATTCTGGAGTTCACTTTGATTATATTGCCAAGAACTTGATATCTTTAAACATATTAAAAATATATAAGTGGAAGGTTATTTAAATCTCAAAGTAAATAAAATCAATAAAGTGGAGTGTGCTAATTAATGTAGTCATTTAAACTAGTATTTTGAGCTAAACTGTGAATTAATGCCTCATAGTATATATATCCTCAGTATTCATTCATTCTTTCAATCCACAAATATTTATGGAAACCTGTGAATAATACAGACATAGGCTTTGCCCTCATGAGGCTTCTCTTCTAACTTGGAAAGAGGCAGGCAACATACAATCAAACATATAAATGAATGTCACAATTCCAGATAACAATACATGCTCTGAAGAAAAGAAGGACTGCCTGGTGCCTGTGGTGCTGGGGTTGGAGGAGGGGGTGGTGACAATTACAGTCAATGGTCAGAAATGACAAGATGGGGGTAAAGCCAGTCCCAAAGTGGGAATAGCATATGCAGAACTCGTAAGGTAAGAATGAGCCAGGAATAGAAAAAAAGATTAATGGGGCGCCTGGGTGGCTCAGTTGGTTAAGCGACTGCCTTCAGCTCAGATCATGATCCTGGAGTCCCAGGATCGAGTCCCGCATCAGGCTCCCTGCTCAGCGGAGAGTCTGCTTCTCCCTCTGATCCTCTTCCCTCTCATGCTCTCTGTTTCTCATTCTTTCTGTCTCAAATAAATAAATAAAAATTAAAAAAAAAATTAAAAAAAAAAGAAAGAAAAAAAGATTAATTTGGCTGGACTGTATTGAACAAGTAAGAGACCATTGCTGAGGGTTAGAATTGTAATCTACCTGAAACGGAAAAACACTGTAATTTTTTAATAAGAGAGGGAAGATGATATAGTTTTGCTTTTAAAAGATCGACAGAACTTAATTACGTGTAGTGAAAGAAAAAGACAACTACTGTCCCTAAAAGCTCTCATGAAGCGCGTGGGCATGCACACACACACACACACAGTGCATACTCCCAAATACATGGACACAGATGCACACACATAGACATCCATGTACACATGAACTCATATACACACAAAAGCATACAGATATACATATATTTATGCACATGTAAGCATGTGTACACTTTTACACCATCACACACGGGACATTTGCAAAGACACGCACACCCATATGCATGTACGCTGACATACACAGAAAGGCACACCCATACATATACACACACTCATGCAAACACAGGCACACACACATAAAACATTTGCACGTATACACATGTGCACACATAGACATGCACACAGAAACACACCGACATATGAAAAACAATAGGTGATGATTTAAACTACTCTTTTAAATAAAAATTAGAAAGGAACACATGGATTTTTCTTGGAGAATCAAAGTAAATTAAATATTTGAACAGTATGTAAATCATTAACAGAATATAATTCACCTAAATCTTTATTATTGTTAACAATTACTTATACCTACTCTGTGCCAGGCATGAGTGTTATGATCCCTATTTTGTGGATGAGTAAGTGGAAGCATGAGGACACAGCTAGCAAGTGACCAAGCCAAAATTTGAACCCAGAATTTGAACTTCCTGCTCTGGTTACCTTCCAGGACCACCCAAGTAGCCAAGGAAATCGATGCTTTCTTCTCAGTCTATTGGGAGTCTCTAACTCAACTCCCTGGGTCGCTGGGCCTCTGACCATGTCATGCTGCTGAGAACAGGACAGCCAGACTGTGTACACACCAGCTTTTCAGCTAGCTGAGCCCTTGCTCTGCTGACTGGGCCTGCAGGCATCAGTGACACATTTTAGAATCAACTAATAATATTATGTACTGAGTTAACTGAATGGAAAGAAATTCAAAGGAAACCACATAGAATTATTTGGTGCGCTGTTTGTGGCAACATACCAACAAGCTCAGTTTCAAATATATTCCGTCTGCTCTTTAAAAAATAAAAAGCAGGAGGACATAAGCTTTCCAGATTTACTTGACAGTTCATGGGTAGTGGAACTCTTTTAATGAAGTACACTTTGTTAAGCTCTTCATCTTTAAACATACACTACACTATGTAGACATACATATGTTACACACAAATACACTAGACATGCACACATCATTCACACGTGAACACATCCACATATATACACACACACTACTTATACATCCACATACATACACTTATATATATTTATATTGTGTATACGCACACATACACTATATATACACACACATTTTGATGGCTAATTTCATATGTTAACTTGACTGGGCCACAGTGTGCCTAGATTTGGTCAAACTTTGTTTTGGGTTTGTCTGGGAGGGTGTTTTGGGGTGAGATTAACATTTAAATCTATAGACTGAGTAAAGTAGATGGTCCTCCCGAACATAGTGGGCCACAACCAATCAGTTGAGGACTGGAATAGAGCAAAAAGGCTAAGTTTGAAGGGAGTTTGCCTGCCTGACTGCTTGACCTAAGACATCTTCTTCTGGTGTTGGAAGTTAAACCATCAGCTCTCGTGATCCTTAGGCATTTGGATTTAGACAGGAACTGCATCACTGGCTGTCCTAGGTGTCCAGCTTGCAAACTACAAATCTTGGGACTTCTCAGCTTCTGTAAGAGCATGAGCCAATTCCTTATAATAAATTTCTTTCTCTCTCTCTCTCTATTTATACATATCCTATTGTTTCAGTTTCTCTGGAAAACCCTGATCAGTCCACGTACATACTCTTATACCCAAACCCTTATACATACACACTATTTATATATACACAAATACAGTAATAAAAACACACACTGCTTACAAATACACACTTATACACACACACACACACACACACACACAAAGAAATCATTTAACTCAGCAGAGAAACTCAAATTCCTGTTTAATTTCTCAAAATCTACCTGATAGTAAGCTTCACCCAAAAATAAAATGTAAAAGATCACTTCTGGGTATCACTTGTATAAAACTGCTTAATATGATATGTTTGGAGAAAAGACAACTGGGTTTGAATTTCAATTTACTCTCCTGAATACAAACACTCAGGATTCCAATGTGCTTATGAAGGCCAAAGGGAAGGGGGAAGCTTTAAATGTCTTACCTCTTGATATTTTTATTTGTTTCAGGATTCACTTTAATAAATCCATTGAGATCTTGTTTGCTTTGAATAAAAAAGTGAGTTTTAAAAAATGTTATTAAGTAAAACACTAATCAAGTGAATAATGACTGGAGAAGTAATGTGAGTCAGATAAAGTTCTGTACTGGATCCAGACAGAATATAAATTTCAACTCAACAAATCAGATATAATTGCCTATTCTGTTTTTAAATAATAAGAACAGTGTCAATAATAATAATAATCATATTTTTAAAATAAGAATATATGTCTTCATATAAAGTCAACCATTTCCCTAACCCAAGCTTTTTAAAAATATAATTAGATTATGATAAATACAAAGAGCAAGAAAAAAATACCTTACATGGTAGGAAAATTGACTCATTTCTTGGGGGAGGGGACAAGTCACCCTCATTAAAATGCACTGAGTAGTATTAAAGGGGATAACCTGAACCCCAAAAAGAGAATACTGTGAGGTTGGCAGAAGTATCATGACTTCATGCCCCTGCCACGTTGACAGAGCCGTGAAGAGGAGAAAAAGTGGCAGAATTTCCTTACTCCCAGTGGATACACCTGCCCAGCCCTCCCTTGGGCTGTCTTCTGAGACCAACATCCTTAGGGAAGCTGATTCATAAGAGTTTTAGTCAAGCCTCACTTTTGGCTATCTTTGTTATTTTATTTATTTTTTAAAACATTTTGTATTTATTTGACAGAGAGAGATAGCGAGAGCAGGAACACAAGCAGGGGTAATGGGAGAGGGAGAAGCAGGCCTCCCACAGGGCAGGGAGCCCGATGTGGGGCTCGATCCCAGGACCCTGGGATCATTAAGGCAGACACTTAACCATTGAGCCACACAGGCACCCCAGTAACTTTGTTATTTTAGAGATCCACCTTGAAAATGTTGTCAAGGGCGCCTGGGTGGCTCAGATGGTTGGGCGTCTGCCTTCGGCTCAGGTCATGATCCCAGCGTAATGGGATCGAGTCCCGCATCGGGCTCCCTGCTCCTTGGGAGCCTGCTTCTCCCTCTGCCTCTCTCTCTCTCTCTGTCTGTCATGAATAAATAAATAAAATCTTAAAAAAAAAAAAAAAAAAAAAAAAAAAGAAAATGTCAAGATCATGCATTCTTTAGATGCAAAGAAACTCATCTGGGATGAAAGGCAACTTACTATCAAATGCTAGGACAGTTCTTCAAAAAATAAGTGATTTTATTAGGAATAAGAAGGGAAGGTCATGTGGCCCACTGTTATTATCTATCTCCATGCTAATAAAATATGGTTATGAAGTTAAAATGCCAAATCATTTTATCTTATTGATTGTTACTTACAGAAATCAGACGTAAAGACACTAATAATTCTTACCCAGTGGCGTTTTCACTTCCTTTGGGCTTTGCTTTGATAAGATTATCAAGGTCTTCACCTCTTTAAAAAAAAGTTTAGATCAGTTTCAAAGTATTATATATAAATAGTATTATATATTATATATAAATAGACATTCCATATTATTGATGATTAATTAAAAGCTTTTGGAGAAAATTATTGTACAGGAATTATATTAATTTTATTATAAAAATTGTCTATCAATAACATAGTTAAATTAATCTCTGGGATTTTATATTAGCCAAATGTAAATTTATAGAAACTGTTGTAGAGCCTCCGAAGTGAAAATCAGGGTGGTAGGGATCAGACACAGAAGACAGAAGGCAAACTCAGAGATGTGACCCCCTCAATGTCACTGAGAATATCACACAGTGAAATTTGGGAGAAAACAACCAAGATTCAGAAACATCAAAACAGTTCTCACCCTCTCCTAGTTTTATCTGTCCTGGCATTCACTTTGATAATCGTTTCGAGATCTTGGCTTCTTTGGAAAAACAAACAAACAAACATGAAAACCTTGTGTTACTTAGGTTACACTCAGTTTTCTCTGAAATTTGTATAAACAAGAATGTCCCTGAAAGGATATCAGATGTTTCCAAGCCAAATGGCCAGAAAAACTTGGATGTAATTATTCTCAACTGAGCTCTGTTAATTTCCCCAGCAGTACTTAGTTTAAATCCGTTTAGAAGAACTTCCCAACATACCCCTCACTTTGCAATTTTGTCCTTTATATTTCTTAGTTTAAATATAAGACTTGGCTCATGTTTTAATTGTTTAAGAAAATACGGAATAAGAGATTATGTAGCAGATTTCCTGCACTTACTTCCATGTAACTCAAACATGTGGTCCTATGGAAACAGCATTCATCATATTCCTTTGTTTACTCTCTGATAGGCCCATAAAGTGCAACAGTTCATCTGTGACCAAGGAAAGCATAACACTCCCATTTCTAACAAGGTGTGAAAAACTAACTTGAAAAAAGAGAGCCGCAGCAAGGTAGGACTTTTACTTACCCTTTCTCATTTTTGTCAGTCCTTTGATTAACTTTAATAAGACTTCCAAGGCCTTGGTTTCTTCATAACATTGGAGCAGGGAGGACAGCAGAGCAACAGAAAGAGAGGAGAGAGAGTAATTCAATCTCTTATGGCAACAGCAGATTTCTCAGCACAAGAGAAAGATATTACCAGTACTTAAAGCCTCAGAAGTCTTTAAAAATGTTTAATACAAGTGACTCTTCTTATGCAAAATGCTGAAGAGATATGCCAACTATTCTTATATTAAGGTCCCAGTCATTACTCCATTGTGATTAAATCACTTTAATGGAATAATTTTTAATAAAATAATAAACATTCCTGCTATTTAGAACTGAGTTGTTGTGCTGACAGTTTATACAATGTTATAATCTTCAGGTTACTTTTATTACTATGCATCATAGCGCCAGAACCCAGTATCAGTATAAGGAGATCTGGATTCAAATCTTAGTTCTGATTTTAATGGGGTTTGTGACCATGCTCTTTCACTTCTCTGCACCAAGTTTCCTCACTATAAGGGAATTAGACTATGCTATTATTTATATTAATATATTTATATATTTTATATTTATATATTAATAATAATATTAAATATTATTTTAATATTTTATCCTTCATATTCTCAAAAGACCTAATGGTTAAAGAGCCTGACCTGTGGATTGAGGCCAAGTTAGTGCAAACCCTTTATTTTTTTACTTTTTATTTTTTTTGGTAAAGATTTTATTTATTTATTTGACAGAGAGAGAGAGAACGGCAGGCAGAGGGAGAGTGAGAAGCAGGCTCCCCACTGAGCAGGGAGCGTGACATGGGGCTTGATCCCAGGACCCTGGGATCATGACCTGAGCTGAAGGCAGACACTTAACCGACTGAGCCACTCAGGTGTCCCTTATTTTTTTATTTTTAAAGTAAATATAACGGTTTTATTTTAAGATTTATTTATTTATTTTAGAGAGAGAGCACGCAAGTGAGAGCGTGTGCAAGTGGGGAGGAGGGGCAGAGGGAAAGGGAGAGAATCTCAAGCAGACTCCTTGCTGAGCGTGGAGCCCAATGTGGGGCTCCATCTCACGACCCTGAGATCATGACATGAGCTGAAACCAAGAGTCCCACACTCAACCAACTGAGCCACCCAGGTGCCCCAGTAAATTTAATGTTTTTAATTGAAATAGAGTTGAGGGGCACCAGGGTGGCTATCGGTTAAGCGTCTGCTTTTGGTTCAGGTCATGATCCCAGGGTTCTGGCATCGAGCCCCACATCAGGCTACCCGCTGAATGGGGAGCCTGTTTCTCCCTCTCCTTCTGCCTGCCGCTCCCCTTGCTTGTGCTCTCTCTCTCTGTCAAATAGATAAACAAAATCTTTGAAATAGAGTTGACATACAATGTTCACATTAGTTGCAGGTGTACAACATAGTGATTCAACAACTCTATACATGATACGATGTTCACTACAAGTGTAGCTACCATCTGTCACCATATAATGCTATTTTAATTTTAATACCATTGACTATATTCCCTACACTGTACCTTTTATCCCCGTGACTTACTCATTCCATAACTAGAAGCCTGTATCTCCACTTTCCTTCACCCATTTTGTCCATCCCTACACCACACTCCCCTCCGGCAACCATCAGTTGGTTCTCTGTATTTATGTGCCTATTTCTGCTTTTTCTTTGTTTTTTTAGGTTTCATATATAAGTGAAATCATATGGTATTTGTCTTTCTCTGTCTGACTTATTTCACTTAGCATAACTCCCTCTAGGTCAATCTATGTTGTCACAAATGGCAAGATCTCATTTTTTATGGCTAAGTAATATTCCTGTGTGTGTGTGTGTATGTGTGTGTGTGTGTGTATAAATACACACCACATTTCCTTTATCATTAAACCATTTTAAAAATAAAAGTTCCCTTCAGGTCTCAGTTTGTGCTTTCTTTGTCCTTCCAGGGATGGCTGGTGGGAAGCTAACTTCAATACATTTGTTGATATACTGCCTTCTTTAAACATGAAAATCATTCATACAAGGGGTAGAAATTAGATGGTCAACATTTTAAATCTAAACCCTTTGGAAATTTTTTTTTTTTAAAGATTTTATTTATTTACTTGAGAGAGAGTGAGGGAGAGAGTGAGAGAGAGAGAGAACAGAGGGAGAGGGAGAAGCAGACTCCCCGTTGAGCAGGGAGCCGGATGCGGGGCTCAATCCCAGGACCCTGAGATCATGACCTGGCCGAAGGCAGATGCTCAACCAACTGAGCCACCCAGGTGCCTCAACCCTTCAGAGATTTAGACATGTCATTTTTAGCAAAAAGTTCAAGGTTCTGAAGTACCCTTGGAAAGTAGAAATAAGTCTATGATGGCTCCAGTTCCTTATATAAATTGACTACAAACAATAAACCTTTTCCATGCAGCTAGTTTAAAGCTATTAGGGAACATCAAAGTTAATCCCTCTAAATCCCCCAATTGTCCAGGGGTTGTCCTTTGTCATTTTCATCTGTCTCTGATTTTACTGTGATAAGACTATTAACATTTTAGTTTCTTTCAATATAAGAAAGAAGGCAGAGAGGGAGGGCTGGAAGAAGGACAAAGCACTATGGACTGACTCAACCACATCAGTGAGTTTGGTCATTCCTGCATCGGAAAGCCAGTTGCTGTCAAATTATCCCACATTACAAATCACATCTCTTTTCTCCTCCTTACCAGCCCAGAAATGATTTACTTGAGAATTTCATCCTAATTTTTCTATTTTCTACCACTTTGGTGGACCCTTCCCAATTTCATTTTTTAAATATCTGAAATCTCATCTTTTCCTATAAAGCTCATATAACCACTCACAGAGAACTGACAGTTTTCTCACTTCATCTGTTCTCCATGAGAAGAAAACTTTTTACCTGTAATAATACTTGGACATGGACATTATAATAATATATTGTTAATAAGGATTCAGTATCTGTGAAACTATTATTGCCAATTATTTTCACATTATTATCACATAGACTTTAAATGTTCTACATCAGAGACAGTTGAGAATGCATCTGCCAAGATTGACTTGGAAAGCTAGAATATCATTCTGGGCACAGACTGGCACAGATGAATGGCTTTAAAAGATAAGACAATAGAAATAATTATCACGTTAGGAAGGCAAATCTGATGACTAACCAAGTACAAGGTAAACAGCCAATCTGGGGGAAAAAGAGTAGTGACCTCCGAAATCCTTACCCTTTGTCATTCTTGACCATTCTGGGATTTTCTTTCTTTCTTTTTTTTAAGACTTTATTTATTTATTTATTTGTGAGAGAGAGAGAGCACAAGCAGGGGGAGTGGCAGGCAGAGGGAGAAGCAGGCTCCCCACTGCACAAGGAGTCTGCCTCGGGGCTTGATCCCAGGATCCTGAGATCATGACCTTAGCCGAAGGCAGACGCTTAACCAACTGAGCTACCCAGGCATCCCTTTTCTGGGATTTTCTTTAATAAAACTGTCAAGAATTTGATTTCTTTCCATATAAAAAATAATATCAGTCATGTAAGTCAATTTTCTAGGATTTCAGTATCAGTCTAGAACTATAAAACAACATCTTTAATGTTATCAGTTCAGTTACTAATCATTCACTAACCCTTTTTATGATATAAAATAGGTAAAGGCATTACTCTTGACCCTGAGATATTTACAAATATATGTGAGATATACATATGAAGTGACTCAACCAAGATTCTAACTGAAAAGTGTCTTAGAGCATTATAAAGACTTCAGTGGGGAGAAACTATGCTCCCAGGATCAAAATGTCTTAGAGTAAATATATTTAGTTCATAAACCAGGCTATTGTCCACTACTTGTAACAGCCAGCTAGAGTTCCTTCACATTTAAATACAAAAGGGAACCTGGAGATCATCTAGGTCATGCTCTTCATTTTATGGGATGAGGAAACAGCAGTCTGCACAGGTTAAGTGACCTGCCCAGGGTCACCCAGATTGATGTGGGTGGCAGAGCCAGCACTAAGATATCCACTTATTTCCTGACCTCCACCCCAACCCCCCATCCAAGTCCTGTCCCACCAGCCTCCCTGCCCCTTGTCCTGAGCAGGAGGTCACACGCTAGAAATGGCATATAGTCTAGGACTCAATCAAAGAGGCCTGTAAGAGTCAAATCTTACCCTTTTCCGTCTTTGTCTGTTCGAGTATTCATAAAAATGAGATTTTCAAGGCTTTTGGCTCTGTAAACACAAAGAAATTCAAATAAAAGGCTACATATTGAAATAAAATTGTGTGGTATCTTGAGAGGTCAGATGCAATAAACATTCTTCATGAATTGCTCATTTACTCTTATTGAATGGAAGAGCAGAAATCCTTCCGGGCAATTATATCTGAGCTAAATGTACAATTCTGAGAGTACTTCTCCATCTGCTAGTACATTGCCATGCCAGAGGATACAACCCCCTTCTGGCGAATGTCTGAAAAAATAAAGCAAGCAATCTGGGAGATCAGATTTTCAGGTTAGGGACAGATGCGCTTACCTTTTCTCTGTTTGCTCTGCCTTAGGATTTGCTCTGAAGAGACCATCAAGACCTTGATTTCTTTAAATGCATTGAACAAAAAAACCTCATCAGTGGTAATAATATATACTTAACTCTATAGAAATATAGACCAGTTTATATTTCTATAGACAGACAGGAAATAGAAGCTGGGTGGAAAAGATGAACGACAATTCTTGAAATTGCTTTATTCCAAATAAGTATTTTCATAAACTCAAAATTTAAATTGCAGTGGACCTCAGAGAAAATAAGATAGAAAATACAAACTGGGGATCCACACACAACCAATAGGCACTGTATGGATTTCACAGAGTGTTTTGTTTTAATGTGAGCCAATGTTGACCCTCTGTCTTTATAGATGAAGAAACTGAAAAGCAGCTCATTTAAATGAGTTGTTGATATTCAATCATATGATCACTGTTGTCAGAACAGGGTATGAACACCACACTTCTGGATGCTCGGAGCAATGAGGTCATTTGACTTTTGCCTTGTTTCTCTGTCTCTCTGGTCCCTACCCATTTAGTATATTAGTAGGCAAAGTAACAGAGAGATAGCAAAAACTGCACACACTTCCAACACAGACCTCAATTACTATAATCTTTAAATTGTGCAATTATAAATGATTCAAAATTAAGGAGGTAAGGTTAACTAAGATAGTAAGTGGCTTTTGTAAAGTATAAAACTGAAAGCATTCAGTGACCAAACTAAACTCTGACCACATACTAACATGTTAATATTTCAGGAAGAGAACTGTGGTTATTTATTTAACTGCCTTACTAAATAGAGTGTGAAAATCAAAGATACTTTAATATTAGTATCTTTAGGTTGTAATAACCATTTATAGCAGTGATGAAATGATGATGATTCCTGCAAGCTTTTTATTCAAGACTTGTAGGCTATTTTTAACTCACCCAGTATGTGGGTCCTCATGCTCAAGTACTAAAAAGACATAAGAAGTCACAATGTGCAACTCAATAATAAAGCAAAAAAATGGATGTTTTCAAATCTTACCTATTCAAGCTTTTGTTCATTTTGATGAGATTATCCAATTCTTCACTTTTGGAAGAAAAAAACAAAAAACAAAAATCTCACGTCATTAAAAGCCTGCCCCGAGTCAAAGGTCAGGTCCACCTTAAACCACTGTTTCTGAGTTCCCTGGAATACAACACATGCCACCAAAATCTTGCCTATCCTTCAAGGCTCTCTTCAAAAGCCTCTTTCTCCAACACATAGTTCCCAGTCCTTCAACGGCATAGAGTCCTCTACATTTTTGGAAACCTTGCTGCATTTTGTTTTTTTCCATCTCCTTTATGGCACTAACACTACTATATTCTGTAATATAGCAACTACATACTTGTCTCGTGTTCATGTCCCTGCTCCTACATCTCTCTCTTTCACACAGACACACACACACACACACCACTTAAAATTTAGAACTGTGTTTTACATTGGGTCCTCTTCAGTCTTTAATACCGTATTCTTTAAACAGTAAATATTTAATATAGGTTTTTATTTGTTTTTTTTTTTTTATTTGAGACAGAGAGAACGAGAGAGAGAGAGCACATGAGAGGGGGGAGGGTCAGAGGGAGAAGCAGGCTCCCCGCCGAGCAGGGAGCCCGATGCGGGACTCGATCCCGGGACTCCAGGATCATGACCTGAGCCGAAGGCAGTCGCTTAACCAACTGAGCCACCCAGGCGCCCCTATAGGTTTTTATTTGAATCAACAAATATGGGTACTTTGACTAATTGTAGATTCTATCTTTATGCAATGTACCTGCACAAAGTAGCTATAGGAAAACACCTGTTCATCAGTAAGTCTGGCTGCTTTCTTAAATTGTGATCCTACTTCATTCTAACTACGCTAAATTTGCGATCTTGTGTCTGTATTTGAGAACTGCAACTTTCTGGCTGCTTCCCATGGAGCAACCTGTTTAGGCTAAACCCCTGGGTTCCAGAATATCCCTTAGTGTCACCTGAGTGCAGGTCTCTTCCCCAAGAAGGCAGCCTCAGTGGGTTTGTGGTTCCTGTTTGCTCCTCACAGCATTGTCTCTCTTCAACATTTCTGCCATCCCTTTGCCCCCATTTCTCTTGCCTTCCTAGTTCAGTTTTTAGATCACCAATCACAGTTTCCCTTCTTCCTGCTCTAGAATCACACGTTTTCCACACCGTCTCAGTGTTCCTCTTTCTTCTGCGTCATCCCTGGAACTGACCAGGAGGCCATGAGGCCACGTCACTCAGTAGTTACATATTCAGTGTCTCAGGTCAGGGATACATGGATCCCAACCCAGGATTCACCACTTATTATCTGGTGATTCTGGGTGAGTTACCGAACCTCTTGCTGCCTCAACTTTTCCATCTGTCCGACAAGAATACCAATTGTACCCACCTGAGAAAACAATCAATAAGCTAGTGAGTATAAAGTGTGTAGCATTATGTCTGGCAAGTCATAAACTCTCAATTAATTTTGGCCATTACAGGAAACAGTTCCGAGTCTACTAAAGTTTTCATTTAATAAATGCTTGCTATGCTTATTTTTTAAATGCTTTTAGAGACATCAAGACTTTGGCTCTAGCTAGACAGGTATAGTTGCTGAGTCACTTATGTGCTTTGAAGATGCCTGGCACAATGCATTGCCATAATAGCCTAGAGACCCTAAAAACATTTAAATTAACAGCCATCACATAGATGAATCCTTTCAAGTAATGTTACATATTCAGTGGTAGGATAAATACTGAAATATAAATGTTGCTGACCCTGACAAAAAATTGATTAACGTACTCTCTAGTCCCTTGACACAATGCCCCATTGTTGTTTCTTGCTTGAAATTCCACTGTCCAGCTCTGAGAGTATGAATCTGTCTGTGTCTCCAAGGAAAAGAGCAAACCTAAGAATCCTGTAAAATTGTAGTCCCAGGCCTTTCTGACTAGTGTGAGTCACAGTGATGTGATGATCAGGATTTGGGGTTGCTCATGTTTATCACAAACAAATGCGCATAACTCATGAGATGATACTCTGTGGTAAATTAAATAAAATGGAGACAATATTCTGACTAAAGAAGTTGGACTTTTAAAATGACCTTACATTGAGGAAAGCTTTGGATATTAAATTTCACCATTCCATGTGCAGTAAATTAAATGTTCTTAATCAGGTAGGAGTCCACTTCACACTGGAGTATCAGCAAGAGCAGCTCAGGTGAATAAAACTATTTCTAATCCCCACACAAGGCCCACAGTAATGGTAGTTGGGTATGTCGATCTGACAGACATTTCCCCTGGCCACAGCCAGAGCAGTAACTTTTCCCTGTGAAGAACACATCTCGTTGTGGAATTTGTGCATCATGCCTACAGAGAGGGGACAGGACTAACTGTAGTTCTCATTGTTTTTGTTGGATTTGTGCCAAACCATAATTTCCCATCAGCATCACTCACCCGTCTCTCCTTCAAACACCCCCATCACTCACAAAAAAACTGTTCAATCCCTCTTAAAAACAAAATATTAGGGGTGCCCGGGTGGCTCAGTCGTTAAACGTCTGCCTTAGGCTCAGGTCATGACCCCAGGGTCCTGGGATCGAGCCCCGCATCGGGCTCCCTGCTCCGCGGGAAGCCTGCTTCTCCTTCTCCCACTCCCCCTGCTTGTGTTCCCTCTCTCGCTATGTCTCTCTCTGTCAAATAAATAAATAAAATCTTAAAAAAAAAATATGACCTCAAAAAAGTAAATAGATAAAATTAGAGATCCAGGCACTTAGATAAGAGAAATGGAAATGAAACATTCAGGCTACTTTCTGGAGTCCCCATCTAGATTCAGAGCTCCAATCAGTTTCGTTTGTACAGAAGAGCTACCTGTTGCTTCTGTTTCTTCTCTTCAGTTCTTTTGATTGAGACTGCAATCCCTAATCACACTTAGCATTGCTGAATTCCACTGAGCAAGGAGTATTTTTGTAGGAACTGGATTTAAACTATGGAATGTTTATACTCCAGTTTTCCTGCTGTTCATCATTCTTTACCATAATCTATTATATAAGCACATACTTTGCACAAAGCAGCATGTCAGACTCTGCAAATGACTTATGGTCAATAGGTCAACAAAATATTTGCTCTAAGAGATTAAAGAGATGATAGAGAAGATGAGGTATTTACATAGATACCATGAAATAACAAATATGATTAGTTGTTATAACACATAAATAGTGGGGCTCTAATAGCTTAGAGAAAAGAAGTCACATCTCACTGAGTCATTCTGGGAAGACTTCACAGAGGAGGTGATATCTGATCTAGATCTTGAAAAATTAGGTAGGACTTGAATGAATTGATACGGTGGCCTTGAGGCTAGGAAAGGCTGCCATATGTGTGGCATGCCATAAACAAAGGCAAAGTGTCTGGAAACTGTAGGAAGAAAGTGGTTTAATTTGGTATTGCATGTAGGGTAAATGTAAGGGTGAAGTCAGAAATAACTCTGGAATGTTAGGTTGGAGCCAAGTTAACAAAGGTTAAATGTAATTGAACAGGCAATGGGGAGCCAGTGAAGCAGTTGTTCAAGGAGAATTTTAGGAAGAAAGCTCTGGCAGTGATGGGTAGTAATGGTTTAGGGGAGGAGAGACTGAGGGAATGTAAGTAAATCTGGATAGCTACTCTAATAACCTATGATGGAGTCGATGAGAGTTTGAACTGGGGTGAGGCCATGTGGGCAAGAAGAGAATTTTAGACATTTTATGCATATATGCCCGATACTACATTGAGGGGAAAGACATGGAAGAATCAAGAATGATTCCAGAAAGGTGAGCTTGGCTGAAGGAAAGAACAGAAAGAAGTGAGGAAATAGAGCATTTAGGAAGGAAAGTAAATATGGCCGAGAACATTCTAAATGAGGGTTCTGGAAAGACAGGTAAGTTGAGATCTGAGCCAGCAACATAAATACAGGACAAGGACTTGGAACAAAGTGAAAACCACAGAAAGCTGAGGTGACAAAGATGAGTACAATCACCAAAAGACAAAGCAGAGGAAGAAGAGTATGGGTAAATGTCAGTCTCACCCATTTTTCAGGGACACTTATCTAGAGAGATTGATTCTTTCTTCTTTTAAATTATATATAGTAAACAGCATTGGGATTTTGTTTATATCTGGAACTTTTAAAAGTACTGGTTAAGCTTTTTTGAAACATAAAGAAAGGAAAAACGCAAGCTCAAAAGCTCTTACCCCTTGTTAGTTTTCTGAAGTGAAGTGGCCACTTTGACAATGTTCTCGAGATCCTGACTCCTTCAAAGGATGAAAAAGAAACACAAGTCAATGACAGCAGAGCTATCTTTGAAGTAGCTAGAAATTCTTATGTTTTCAGTAAAGAAAACAATAGTCCATGTGTTCAGGAATTATTGAGTTTAACTGCATAATGAAATAATTCTATCATATCAGCTTATGGGGTGTGTAGGTGGGGGTGTGCGTACACACACACACACACACACACAAACACCAGTCATTTCACTGGGCATTGGCTCTGCCATCTAGTGCTCACTGAAATAATACAGTTTCTCCTAAACACACTGGCTTCTCCCTAGTTCTATACTTAAAGGATATGGAAAAGAAAGCAGAGTTAACTACATGAGTAAATACAGACGTGTGTTCAGAGGTTTTTTGACCAGAGCCAAAGAGCATTAAGCAACATGTCCAGATGATTAATTCATCCCTCACATGTGGTAAAAGTTTCTGTCTTCTTAGGCTTCCAAAGGGAAAGAAAGTACATTTTAAACTACAGGGTAGGTGGAAGCACCTGACACAGAGGGCTTGAATCCACACTAATCCCCCTAGATCATGGAAAGGAGTAATTGGGAAAATCCTTATTGGTGTCCCTGTAATTAAGACCTGTGTTTCACAAACAATGTCTCATAGAAGGTTACTAGGGTTCCATGAAGAAAGAATTTTGCAGTCAAGTAAATTTGGGAAATAAAACCAACTTTTGGGATTCTGAATGTATATAAGCACATTGAAGGTTCTGAGAAGTCCTGTGGTAGAGAACTCTATTTTATTTATTTATTTTTTTTAAAGATTTTATTTATTTATTTGAGACAGAGAGAATGAGATACAGAGAGCATGAGAGGGAGGAGGGTCAGAGGGAGAAGCAGACTCCCTGCCAAGCAGGGAGCCCGATGCGGGACTCGATCCCGGGACTCCAGGATCATGACCTGAGCCGAAGGCAGTCGCTTAACCAACTGAGCCACCCAGGCGCCCCGAGAACTCTATTTTATTGTGTCTCCTAAATGGGCTGGCCATTAAACTCTTCTTTCACAGAACATGCATTGAAATCTGTGGCACATGGGACACAGCTTGGGAAATGCTGAGATACGGTGGCACTTGAAGTTACTAAGTACAAGGGAAACATGATTCTCCCCAAAGTAAGGTATCCATGTGATGTATGTTTCAAACTCAGACTTTTCTGAGAGTCAAGGGAAAACCCAAAAAGTATGTAAGTTTTGAACTTTGAAAAACCGGTTGGTCAAAATGGATAAGATGGTATATTTATTGTTATGTTTTTACCATAATAATTAAAAACTGCTTTATCATATTGATAAACCTATAGAATATCATCATTTAAAACTAATTTCAAAGATAGGGGAGTTTTTCTAAAAAAAATAATAAAACCAAGATATAACCAAAATACATACTAAACCAGATGGGATGAGCAAGACAACAGGCATAAATCAGGACTGTTATGGGGAAACCTTACCCAAAGATCAATAGTATTTGTGAGCCTTTTTCTGATGATTTGGGTGGAGCTGGATATGGCCTTATTATACAGCCAATTCTAGCAAAGCTTTTGCAGAACAAGTTCAATAAAATGACTATATTTACACCTATTCATTTAAACATCAACACAACTCTATCAGACCTTGGAACAAGTGCTGGGAATAAAGAGGTATTTTCCTTTCTTAAGGGGTTTATTTTATTCTGTTATCATGTTCAGACAATTCTGGTTGTTTCTTAATGTAAAGCTAAGAATAGAAATAAAAGGAATAAAATTCTGTAGGTACATATAAAAATATTAATTACCCACTATATTGAAGCCAGCTGGAGAACTGATTTTGTCTTTTTTATTATTATTTGTCTTGTATTTTTAAGTATTCTAATAAGGCAAACATTATCATTTCTACAATTACATAGATGTAAATAGAGATCATTGTACCTTATATTTCTTTCAGCAGATCTGTTGGTTTCTGTATATACACCTGGTTTAGGTGGACATATCTGCCTATATTTTCAAAGTTAAGGATAATGTCTGTTAGGTAAGAAAACACTTCTCTGTTAAATATAAATTTTTAAGGAAACATTCACATTCAAAAAGATCACGGTGTGTTGGATCAATAGCACTACTTGAGATAACAAACTTTAGCTCTTTTGGTTGGCTAGAACTCAACCATTTCTTTTTATTTTTTAAAAAAATTTTATTTATTTATTTGACAGAGAGAGAGAGGTAGTGAGAGCAGGAACACAAGCAGGGGGAGTGGGAGAGAGAGAAGCAGGCTTCCGGAGGAGGAGGGAGCCCGACGCGGGGCTCGATACCAGGATCCTGGGATCATGACCCCTGCCGAAGGCAGCCGCTTAACAACTGAGCCACCCAGGCGCCCCTCAACCATTTCTTATTTGAAAATCTGGAGTCCAATGTAATAATTTTGTAATTTGGCCTATCTCTTTAAATATATTTTTAACTACTAGATATATCTAGAAATATCTGTCCCAAATGTGTTTATGTTCATTTTATTTTAGTCTCCAGTCATCAATAAAGCATTTTCATACTTATCTCTTAAGACTCTTTTTTTGTTATTAGGCATCAAATGGATGATTTTATTTTTCTTAAAGACTTATCTCATTTGAATACAATCCAGAAATATCTTTGCTCAGATAAGATGGGAAATATTTTAAATTTCCAACATACCCACCACATTGAGAATTACCACACAGAGTTGACAGAACAAGTTTATGATGTTAGGTTCAGTCACAATTTATGGTATGAGGTTTTTCTCTGTTATTTTCCTAAGTATCTGACTGACCTACTTATATATTCTTGCTTGTTCTCAAAAAACTATATTCAACTATTTTTTGTCCTCCTGAGGACATGTGTTAATTACATAGGAAACACTTCCCTTTCATATTCTTTCATTAAAATCATCTTGCTGTGATTAAAGTAATCAGGGTTTAAAACATGCAAGTTGTCCTAATTTTATTTTTAAGATCACTGGTAGAAGAAAGAAATTAAAGTAGTAAAAATGGATTAAACCAATTCCCGTGAAATTTAGCTTTTTTTTTTTTTTTGACTCTACACAAGCTCACTGCTCTAGAGTCGCTGATTTTGGACTAGAATTTAGATAATACTAAAGCCAGTTTTTTTAAGCCCTCTAAAAATTCCTATTCAAATTAAGATTTAATGGCTCAATACTATAAAAGGAAAAATAATGTAAGATAGTAAGCTTAAATTATTTTAAGAGTATAATTATAACCATTGCACAAATAAAAAGTTATAACTTTGGTCTATGTTTTTCATTAATTCAGTGAAGAAGTATATTCTTGGCTCATTAAAGGGAGAAAAAATATCTTCTCATCCTAAGGACAAAATTTCAAAGATCCTGCAAAGTTTCATTCAATAGAAATTCAGACCTCGGTTTTTAACTTAATAGGCTGAGTACCTAATGCTTCATAGTCCTGCTGCCCACTCAGCATTTTCTAGCTGAAGTTACCCTCTTCCTGAAGAATATTTCTAGAATTTTCTTTCATGTTGTCAACAAAAATCACCATCAAAATGCAAAAATACAAAAGAATCAAAGGCAGGTAATCAAGTGGATCTAATATATTCAGTCTTTAATGAGATACCATTTTTTAAATCTCATAATAATAATGGAAATGTGCAATGTACGTCTCGAAAAACAGCTCGAGATTATTGAACAGTTTAACAGAAACGCATGGAAAATTTTTCAGATCTTTGAATTTGTTTCTAAGTATTAATTATAGAGTATCAGAGATTCAAAATGAAAAAGCAAGTCTCTTTTTTTCTTAATTCAGAGACAAATTAATTAGAACATTTTTTAACTGTAATAGTTTTGAAATAAGTTGCAAATTCCTTAGCTAAAACAAGACTAAAGAGCTACCCAAAAGTATTTCTAACATAAGGAGAGTTTGAGCAGTAACACAAAGTTTTAAGAACATTTTTCATCAGAAAACGTAGCTTTTAATGGGAAACTTAACTAGGAGTAAATATACACCAAATGTGTGTGTATATATACATATGTGTGTGTCTGTGCATGTGTATACACACACATATATAGTTTCTATCTAGATTACATATGTCAAATACTATATATGTATACATATATATTTATGTATTTATATACACAGGGACAGAAAGCGTTTCCTTATATAATGCTTCCTCATACATAAATTAGAAGAAACCAGAGGATGAATACTTCCTGGACATGAATACTGTTCAGTTTCTATCTTGAAGGTGTATTTCCATAAGACGGGACATGGCCATAAGTATTCAAAGACAAACATAAATACGCATTTGTGTTGGTATTTAGAATTAGAAAAGCTTTAAAAGTGCTTCTTCTGTGAATGTGTGCACAAAACATACCCATGCTTTGCACAAAACAGGTCACAATTCATTTGCTTTCATTTCTTTAACTTCTTCATTTGAGCAAGAGATTCTGGAATGCCAGGTCTCACCTATTCTCCCGTCTCAGCCAGTTAGGAGATGAAACAGGAGAACTGGGCTTTGGAGGTATGGGAGGGTGAACAGTTGGTTCCCTTTAAAACAGAAAACATCAGTTCATTTCACCATGGAAACATGGCAAATTTTAGCATCTATTAACTGAATGTACTTATGGCCTATATGGAAATAACTCATGCGTCTTAAACCCCCCCACCTCACCCCACCCCCCTGGCAGGAGGTAGCTGAAAGGCCAGAATCTATACAGCACTAAACTTTAGAGGAGTCATATATTTAAATTACTGGTATTTTCAAAGTTCATTTAAGCAGGTTTTTGGAAACCCTATCCTCTTTCACTATAGTTTGAAATATAATGTGTCCTTTTAAAAGCTTAATATTTTGCTAGACTATCTAGCTCAAGCTGTGGCATTTTGGGTCAGCAGCGCGTGAGCGTAGTAAATGGTTCTTGGGCATTAACATATAATCTTCTTTAAGAATTATATCAACCATCAGGCTGCTATGGAAACAGCAAGAAAGGTTTTCAGTTTTACAGACCTCAAGATAAAGTTGATTTGAAGCTCTTAACTAAATCTGACTTAAATATTGGCAGCACAGGCCAGTTTGCTGCTTGCAAAGCATGTATATGCTGTCAGCCTAAACTTTCCAGCCAAGAGCCAAGGCAGCCTCTGAGCCAGCGTGATTTGATAACCTAGGAACGGCAGACAGGCATCATTTGGATGTCCATCATTTGGATGGAGTCAACACCTTACCTGGGGCATGTCAGCCCTCCACTCCCACCACTGCCACCCCAGTGGCTCCTTATTAAACTCCATACCTAGTAAAAGTACACTTGTGGTCTAGACTCCAGGTACCCCTCTGGCTTCTACAGCACGCTAGGTGAGCATGGAAGCTCTGGAGTCCAGCTGTCTGAACTGCGAGCTGTGTGATAATGGGTCAACCTGATACCATCTCTTTGTCTCTAATGACCTTTCTCATAGGATTGCTGGGGTGTTGTCAGGACTGAATTAGACCATGCTTTTTTTTTTTTTTTTT